TGCTAGACAAACAAAGCTTCAAGTGACAGTAGAGGTGCTGGGATTGCTCATGAACAAAAGCACACCTTGAGTTTAGGAACCAGTACAATCGCATATGATGGGTGAAGCAAAGCAGTTCAGATTATCAAGGGTGTCCGCCTGGTGTCACCGATGGCTGACAGGGCAACTTACAGTCAGCCAGAGTTGGGTTGGGAGTTGGCTTGGCTTCTTGCCAGCTGTGTACCTTGGGCAGGTCACATCACTCTTAAGTTTCCATTTTCTTGAGTGGGGATAATAAGACTGAGCTCATAGGATTGTTTTGAGGATTAAATGAGATAATGTTCATAACACACTTAGTCTGATGTCTGGCCTAGTGCAAATGCTCACTAAGTGGTTGTAATTACAAGCAATGGGAAGGGTAGAGGAAGCCTGATTGCAAGTCTGCCTGTACTTTGTGGCACAGGGTGGCCCCCGCAGCATTGAAGGAGTGATAAACCAGACAAGTCTCTCTCCAAGGTGATGCATGGTCTCAGTTTCTATCTGGCTGTTGGCTAGAGGCTCCCATTACTCTCAATATGGGCTTCTCCCTCGTACTCACAATATGGCAGCTTGCTGAGCAAGATAGAGGACTCCTAAGACAAAAGCTGCAGTCTTGTATTCCATATTCTCACCTTCTTTTATCCCACCTCTTCTTCCATAGACTCACATCAAGCCCCTGGGACAGGTAGAGCAGACATACAGTGGTATGAGCACCAAGAAGCTAATTGTTGGGGGCCATCCTGGAAGCTCTGCCTACAGGAATTAAACTGAGAGGCTGAGTTGGATGGGGATTGTAAATGAAGCCATAACATGCCAATGCAGTTTACAGTGTTCGTTTTATACCTATTTGGGAGAGTATTTGAAAAGTGAATAAAATCCTTGCAGTGCACCCACCCAGGATGGCATATGGACCCACATGTTCTATAAAGACATTGAACCCTTTCACTCAAAGTCTGCTTGCTAATCCTTCCCCTGGAAGGCCGTCAAAGAACTCACTGTATAAGCCAGAGTGGAGCTGACCTGCACGGCGCTACTGAGGCTCTGGTCTGCCACTTCCTGAAGCAGAAGACACTGCTCATTTCTTTCCTCCATCTCTTGGCTGTGCCTGCACACGGGGTGGAGATGTCTTGTAGAATTTATTGCTGTTCCTTGACTAGTTTCCTTTATCGCTCACAAGGCCCGTCGTTGTAATGTGCCATGTTCCCTGGCCCCATCTGCCATCCCTTCTGCCTACCACTGACTTGACAGCTTTCATCCATGGGGCTCAACCTGAAGTCTGCCATGATTTATGTACCTCTTGTAGACATGAGCAGACATATCCTGGAAAGTTCTCTGTCATAGTACCCAGCTCTTATGACCGACCCAGTGGGCTTACTGGGATCTACAGAGTAAAACATTTACAGCCTTCCAAACAGCACTTGCCTAGTTGTAGAAACCTCAGTATCCACTGACAGTACCAGAGTGGAGTTATAGGTTCTGGATCGAACTTAGACTTGTCTTGTTTTCCGATCATTTCTACTTGAAAATAATGAGAGACAGTTTCTGTGGCCACTTGAGAATCCTGACAAATACTGATGACTTGTATCATTTGTCTGAAGTTAATTTTATTCAATGATCTATTTCTTATGTCTTTCCCATACAGTGGTAGGTGGGAACATGGTGTGAATACTTCCTATCTGTTTTGAATAACATCTCAAATGATTTAAGTTGCAGGCCCCTGAGCTCACTAAGGTTGGAATCTGTGCTTGGTTGACTTTTCCCATAACTTCTTTTCCCTATGACTTTTTCTATGACTTCTTTCCTATGACTTCTTAGGCAAGTGCACTGACCATGGTAGGAACTTGAAGCCTATGTGTTAGATAGAAGGGTGCAAAGAATCCCCAGAGCAGTGGGCTGTGGACTCTGACTCACATCCATTGTTGCATCACTGCTGGATTGTTTGGAGGTCTAGAGATGATGTTCTGGATGTCTCCTGATCTGGCTAAGGTGTCAAGAATGTTGCTCCACTTCTACTTGGGATCTTTAGATACCCACTCCATTTGCCAGCCCCCTTAGTGTGGGCCAACTCTGTCCTTCAGATCCCCAGCCTTAAAGTTTCAAGAAGACTATAAATTCCTCCAGCATTCCTTTATAGCCTTGAAAAGCCTCTGAAGAAAGCCTGGAGATGTGTCTTGCCTAGCAAGCACACGGCCCTGGGTTTGATCTCCAGTACTGCTAAAAAGGATTATGCTGACCTGAGGGGATGGAGCTGCATTGTACTGAGGACTCTTTTCTAGTCGGAGAGTTCTTGGTCTTGTTCAGTGGCTCAGACACAGATGAGTACTAGAGAGTGTGGCTTTGCAGCCACAGTTTGCCTTCATAAAAGGGCTGCAGAGATGTCTGTTGTCCATTCTGTAAGTGGTCCTAAGATCATAAAAATGGCAGCAAGTCCACGATGCTGTGAGTCTTCTTTAGCCCAATCAATAGCTTGAGTGTCCAGATGTGGTGTATGACATCCCTCTTTAGGGGTTGGCCAGGGATAGGAAGATGTTGGGTAACGCAGTTAGTAGAGATGAATGCTTAAAAATCCAAATGGACGGAGGCCTGATCAACACAAAGATACTCAACAATGAGAAAATAAATCGGCATCTCTTGTCTTCCCTGAATATATTCTTGACAAGGGCACCCTCTTCCTCACCATCCCCTCTCTGTTCCTTCTAACTCCCCAAGAGACTGAGCTAGTCTGAAAATCCAAATTCCTTTTCTAAGGGTTAAAAATAGTCACACAGTGCTGCTGTGATCTCATAAAGCGGTGTTTTCACTGTCATCTCTAACTTGTGGTTAGTATTGTTTGGTAATTACATACTGCTGCTCTTTATGAGCAAATCAGGAAACAGTTTACAAATGCCTGGTCATTTCTGCAACTCCTGAGTTTAGGCAGGGAGCTTGTACAGTGCCCCTGCAGCTCAGCTGACCATCAGTCCATTTGTATCTCCACGAAGTATCTTTCCTAAAAGTGACAGCTAGGGAAATGACATCTACTCTCAAGAATGACATTCTGGAAAAGTGGGGTCAAGAAGGAGGAAGGGGAGATAAACAGAGAGAATGAATGATGTAGTCATAATATTCAGTATATAGAGGTGAAAATGAAACTAGGTAAAATTGAGGGTAAGGGTGGGGTTGGTAGAGAAGGTAGAGAATGATTGATGGAAGATGCATTGTACTCACAAAGTGACAAGTTGAATACAAACTGTTTGTACAACTGCCTAAAGATAATATTTTTTAAAGATTAAAAATAAGAATGGCATTCTGGGATGTCAAATAAAAGGCTCAAATTTTCTGTAGGTCTAGTTTCTAGGCTCTAGTCTCTACAGTATATTATCCTCCATTATCTTTACAGAAACACTAAAACCAGCTACTATTGTGATTGTAGATCACATTGTTGGTCTTATTTGTAAATGCTATGTCTGCTAAAGGATGCAGAGCTTGTGTCTGACTTACAATGTTCTCCTTCCAATATCTAAAAGGAAGAATTCAGCGCTCCCTCATTGACAGCAATTCTTGGCTGTTTGTTGCTTCTTTGGAAAAGTCCATTCTCCCTCAAATATCTATGTTTTTCCCTCCTCCTTTCCTCCTTAAGAGTTGAATCAATACCAAGTCACCTTGACATTTATCTAGTGAATTTTGAAAGCCAGAGTAACAGACAGACCTATGGAACAGAACAAAATGATATTCTATCATTTCAATTTTCTTTAACCATAGTCTGAATGCATTGCTTTAGTTAACCAACATGACTTCAATCTGTTATGCAAATATAACAATAATCCCATTAAAAATCTGTGAGCTAGTTTGCATATTTTAAGTTTCTACCGCATAACAAATTGTGCCTGAATGTTCCACCTTATTTTATTGCCTTATTTTGTCTTTAATGACAACCTATTTAAAGCAGAAATCTTTCAAATTGCAGAATAACTTGATAACATGTCTTCACTAGTAATTTAATACTTGTATATAATGAGTTCATCTGATAGATTTCATTAAAAACAGCAAGGTGCCCAGCTACCAAAGCTGAGATGTTTTTAATCACAGAATTATAGTAATTATACAAATCCCAAGATTTTCATCAGACAGATGAGGCTTCCAGCGCTAAACATGCACTTTAAACTTAGCTCTAATAACTGTGTATTGTTCTAAATTATAGTAGAGGGAGTCCTCAGGCCCAGGAAAATACTAGAGGAATATTAGAGAGAAAATGTTGTATGCGGGATTTTTAAGAGAAATGGAGCAAGGAATTATTTTGGAGCTGGAGTGGTTTGGGTAATAGGCACATCTCCCCACCTCCAGTGTGATGGAGGAGAAAATGCCCATGTGTGGAAATAGAATGTTCAGATTAAGCCTGTGAGCTCAGGACTATCACCACCCATCTTAGAACAGAGTGTATGATAGCCGAACATCTGTCCTCTAAGGAGCCTAGAGATACTAATTGACTTGGCTAGATTCCCCTTCCCATCAGCCACCAGGACAGAACTCCTGAAAATGACGTCAGAATCTAGGATATCTAGGCTAGATGAAGACTCTATAAAGAATAATTAAAATGGGGTCCAGTGGTTCATGCCTGTAATCTGAGTTGTTCAGGAGGCTGAAGTCCAAGGCCTGCAATTTCAAAGTCATAAACATTTTGCTTTTCTTTTTTAGATTAAAATGTGTGTGTGGTGGTAGAGAATTTATAACACACACACACGTGCATGCACACATACCCACAGGAGAGGGGAATGATCACTTACAATCCTTCCACCCAGAAAGAATTATCATTTGCATTCGCCTACATTTCCTCCCTCCCTTGCTCTGCACAGATACACGTTTGTGTTCCGATGGACAGACAGGTTACCAATATTTCATATCCTCTCTGAGCACCCTGCATAGACCTCAGGGGTGGGGGTGGCGGGGGGTGTCGGCTCCCCATTGTCTTGGGGTGCTATCTTCTTCATCTTCTGTCTCCCCAGGTCCTGCAGCCTTTTGAGGGGGAGCGGACTACGATGTGGATGAACGGGAGAAGTCGGAGTCTCCACCCGACGCTTTGCTTCCTCCTGGAAGACCGTCCAGTGGGAGCGGAGCCGCTGTCTCCCGCGGCGATCAGCGCCAAGGCTCAGGCCCCTGTGTAGGTGGGATGGACGGAAGGAGCACGCTGCCGGTGGTCTAGACCGGGGAGCCCTTGCCGGGGTGGGGGGCCGCGATGCCACGTGGTCTGGACGCATGGCCCTCCCCTGAGTGACCATGGTCCGCCGCGGGCTGCTGGGCTGGATCTCTCGCATGGCGGTGCTCCTGGTGCTGCTCTGCTGCACCGTTTCGGTCCTCTACATGTTGGCATGCACCCCGAAAGGTGACGAGGAGCAGGCCTTGGGGCTCCCCCGGGCCAATGGCCCCACGGGCAAAGAAAGCTACCAGGCCGTGCTGCAGGAGCGCGAGGAGCAGCACCGCAACTACGTCAGCAGCCTCAAGAGACAGATCGCCCAGCTCAAGGACGAGCTCCAGGCCCGCAGCGCGCAGCTCCGCACCGGCCAGGAGCAGGCCAGCGAGGCCGCAGGCCTGCACCCCGCCCCGGGCCCTCCCGCACCCCCAGCCCAGGCCGACCTGCTGGCCTTCCTGCGCGCCCAGGTGAGCAAAGCGGAGGTGCAGACCGGGGTGAAGCTGGCCACCGAGTACGCCGCCGTGCCTTTCGAGAGCTTCACCCTGCAGAAGGTGTACCAGCTGGAGACCGGCCTGACCCGCCACCCCGAGGAGAAGCCCGTGAGGAAGGACAAGCGGGACGAGCTGGTGGAAGCCATCGAGTCGGCCCTGGAGAGCCTGAACAGCCCTGCGGAGAGCGCCCCGAATCAGCGAGCGTACACCGCCTCGGACTTCATAGAAGGTTGGCATGTTTGTAAATTGGGGGGGGTCAGAGAAGAGGCATCGGGTCTGGGGTACCCCCCCACCCCACTACCTCCCTTCCCAGGCCTTCCCCAAGCCCAGGCAGATTCCATCTGAGACCAGCAATTGGCTAAGGGGAGAGGCCCCTTGTCAAGCCTTATGAGAGCCAGTGTCCTTGGGTTTTCTTACTTTGCAGAAACATGTGTTTTCACTTGCTGGGGAAATGGACATTAAGGGCAGTTTCTTTGTTCCTTGGCAGAGGCTGAGTGTCAGAAGCAGCTTGGCTCTTAGAGGCTCACACCTGTAATCCTAGCTACTCAGGAAGGCTGAGATCACACCTGTAATCCCAGCTACTCAGGGAGGATGAAATCTGAGGGCTGGGGTTTGAAGTAACTCATCTCCAAGTAACTACCAACGTTTTTTTTTAAAAGTGAAAAGTGGTGCTGTGATTCAAGGGGTAGAATGCCAGCCTTGAGCTCACAAAGCTCAGGACAGAGTCCAAGCCCTGAGTTCAAGCTCCAAGTATGGCATGATAAATATATTCATATACACATACAAATATAAATATAAACAGAAGAAAACAAAATACACACGTAATACTTTGAGACCCCAACAGACTGAGAGGCGATTTTCATTCTCTCTTCTCCTGGGGATTTTTAGGAACTGAACTGGCTATCAGACCTCGAAGGAACAGAGCAGAATGCTTACCAATGCCCAGGCAGGCAGGCCTGCTCGCAAAACTTTGACTCACTTCTCCCCAAGGAATAAGGATATGGAGCTATAAATTCATTCAAAACCTGTTGCTTGGCCAAGCTAGTGGCAGAGGCAGGATTGATTGATTGGTTGGTTGGTTGATTTGCCTGATTGTGATACTAAGGTTTGAACTCAGGGTCTGGTGCCTGCTAGGCATACGTTGTACCACTTGGGCTGTGTCCCACACACTTATTTGTGCTGAATTTTTTCATTTGGATCTTGCATTTTTGCCTGGGTCAACCTGGATGGAAATCCTTCTATGTATGTCTGCTGCATTGCAGGAATGGGAGATGTGTTCCAGCTTGCTCAGCTTAGTGGTTGCCATGATTCTTGCTAATTATTTTCTGAGGCTGGCCTCCAATCATGATCCCTTCCTTCTAAACAGATTGGATTACAATCATGAGCCTCAGCGCCTAACCCAAATCCAGGATTTTAATCCAGCAAGTCTTTCTCCAGGGTGCCACCTCATTGTATTGTACAGATTGTCAGAGCACACGGAAATAAAACAAATGGGCACAAGACAGCCTGACATCACGGTTGTCTGATTTTTTTAAAAAAGAAAACATCTTTTCATTAAATTACATATCATTGCTGGCTCAAAAATCAACTAATAACTTTTTTGCAGCGATGGGAAATGAACCTATGGCCTTGCATATGTTAGGCAAGCTCTCTACCATTCAAGCTATGCCCACAGACATAGTACTTTTTATCAGTTACATTTTTATTTTCTTTAAGTAGTTGTACAAAGGGGTTATCATTCAGCATGTCAATTTATAAGTACAATACATCTTGATCAATGTCACCCCATTCATCATTCTTCCTCCTCTCTCTCAATACGATCCCTTCCTTAACACTGTGTTTTTATTTTGTTTTAGAGATAGGGTATCACTGCTACCTCTCCCTGGGCTGGCCTCCTGATTATCCGCTGGGATTACAGGCTTGTGCCACCATGCCCAATTTCAGCTAATAATTTGGACGAAATGGTGGCCTTCAAAGATATCTACCTTCATTCCCGATTTGGGGGCAGAATTAACTTCAAGTTGCCCAGAAGTATACCTGTGTCCGCCTAACCCACTTCCTCCTTTGTTTTAAAACTGGCCAACGGTCTTCCAGGCAGATTCTTCTCTCATCACAACCCCTCTGGATGCTCGTGAAGTCTGTTCTCTTGGACACTTTTGTGGCTTGGGGTCTTTCCACTTTCCAGGGGATCCACAAATTCATGCAGTTTTAATGAGGCACTGTTTTTCACATACCATGAGCCAGGTAGAGAAATATTTCAGTGTGTGGATTTTCTTGACCCTCATTTCCCATGAGATTAAAAGAGAAAATATGCAGAGCCTTCAGCAGTAATTTGTGTAGTGTTTGTGTATGCTAAGCACTCAAGATTTCAAAATATACTGATGAGCTAATATCAAACCTTACAGCGCTTTTCTGTGTGTGACAAATTTCCACACGCATTATCTTCCTAGTTGACTCCAAGGGAAGATCACCAAACATTTTTTAAAAAATAAAACAACCCTCCCTGTTTGCCTCTGTCGCTGGAGTAGGTGTGAGAGAGCGGCCTGGGTAGAAAACGATTTGGAAAAGCACTTGATTACAAATCAATGCTTGCCTTTTTGCATGTTTGCCCTTGTTATTGTTGGTTGTTGCAATCGTGTTGTGCGTGTCTGTGTACAGTGCCTTGTCACAAGGCCCATTGCTCTCCATCAGCAGTAGCACCAGCCCTGTGTCCCTATTTGATTTGCTCTGCAGTGGCACTGGATTTCTGTTGGAGATATTCTCAGCAAAAGCTACCCCATGTTGCTTTCATGGGCTGTACATGGCTGGTGTTTGGGGCAGATCAGCCCACATGCATCTTCCAGATAGAGCATAAACCTAATCCAGTGTTCTCACGTGACAAGTAAATAAAGACAAAGCATTATGCATGGTTGATAGTGATTTAATTTTTAACATCTCATCTGTGGGTTAGAAGGGACTTTTGGATGACGTCTTCTATTGTCACAGGAAGCATGTGTTTTGAAAAGGTCTGCCAGATGGAAGAAGGAGCAGAGAGATAGAATTAAGTTCAATAAAACAAGGAACTTGGAAAAGACTGACGTTACAGAACAAAATAGGATTCTTGTCATTACAAGAATTCTGCCATTGGCAGAGGACAGCGGCTTATAACTGTAATCTCAGATACTTAGGAGGTAGATTTAGAAAAATTATGGTTCAGGGCCAGCTAGGGCAAAAAGTAAGATCCTGTGTGAGGGTAGCTGCCTATAAATCCCCAAATCATAGGAGGAAGACCGTGGAGGATCTTGGTCAGAGAAAACCCTGGGCAAAAGCGTAAGACCCTACTTGAGAAATAGCTAAAAGGACTGGAGGCATGGCTAACGTGGTAGAGCACCTGCCTCACAAACACCAGATCCTGAGGTTATAGATTGTGATTCTTGGTTCAGAGAGGTAGCTGGCTGGACTGAATTCCAATCTTAGCTTGATGCTCTATGGTCCAGACCTTGTGAAGGTGAAAGTTGTACATGGAAAAGGCCCAATTTGAGACCATTCCTTCATGATGAGCTAGGGCAAGCGTTAAAAGTACTATCTCATTAAAATAATTTATTCACATTTTTAGACATTATCTCAGAGAGCATGGTTTTGATTTGTGCGTAGGTTTCATTAGTACAAAAAGTGGAGCAATTTAGCTCAAGTCTGAGGAGAAGAATTTTAGAAGCAGGAGTGCTCCACACACTCTGAGAATTCTGAATGAAGGCAACAGATTTACTGAACCTTAAACTAGTATGATAAAGATGGTGATTCTTTGTGCTTAAAGAAATAATAAGGCCAGTCTTGGTGGTGCATGCCTCTGATCCCAGCACTCGGGAGGCTGAGGTAGGAGGATCATGAATTGGAGGACAGCCTGGGCTCTACAGAAAATATAAGGCCAATTTGGCATCTATCACAGTACTCTACCTCAAAAGAAAGGAAAGAAAAATTAATAACAAAACTCCATGAGATGCGGCAAGATGACAATCACTCTATACAGCTTAAAGCTCACTATGAAGTGGGTGGCTTGGTGGCATTAGCACTGTGTGACTCACCCTTAGACTCTGTTAGACTCACTTACTCCATCAGTAACACACTTGATATATACCCCCTTGATAGCCGCCAGCCTCTCATCTGCAGAGACAAAGCACCGCTAACGCTTTTGCTAAGCCACCATCTCTGAGGAACCCCTCGCTATCCAGTAGGAGTCACCTGCCTTTGGTAGATGGACTGGCACCTATCCTGTAGCAGGAGAGATTCGGTAAGGTCTGATCTGCCTGTGGTGGCTGCCCGCACTTCTGCAAGGTCTGCAGAGGGAGAATGTCTACTTAGGCCCATCTAATTTACCATCTACATGATTTAAGTACTTGTCTCTAAGAGCCAGGGAGAGCAGCATCTGCCAGGGTGGTCCTGGTGTTTGCATTGGGTTCTTCCATGATTGCATTCATCTTTGACAACCGTCTGTGCGAGCAAAGAAAATGGAGTATGATCAGTCCCTGGCCTCAGGACGTCTCAGTGTTTGCCTCCTCACATACACACAAAACTCCCTTCTCAGTGGGTGTGCTTGAGTTCTTCCTTCGGTCGAGGATGCACACACTAGTATTGGAAACTCAGTGACACAACATTTGGCTTGGATTTCGTGGTTTTCAGGAGAGCATTTGGACACACATTTGATATCAGTCCATACGCTGAACCATATCTGAACTCTTCCTCTTCTGCAATCCAAGCATCTGACGGCAGGACTCTTCTGAGAGTTGTTAGTGTCCGCTGTCTCCTTGGGTCACACTCTGGTCTGTCCCCATCCTGTGCACCTCTCTCCCCCCGCACCTCCTGCAGCTCCTGTGGGGTGAATAGTGTGGCCAGAGGAGTCCTAGGCCAAATACTCTCTTTAGGGGTGAGATGGAGACAGTTAAAGCTTTGATGCAGTTATGGTTTAACTGTGTCCCTCCAAAATGCAGTATTGTTTATTGATGAATTGATTGGTTTTTGTGGGCTTTTTTGTTGTTCAGTATTCCTGGGGTTTGAACTCAGAGGCTTATACTTACTAAGCTCCATATTGCTTTATTTATTATTCAGAGAGGGCCTTGAACATTTTGCCTCATATCCGCCTCAGTCCAGAATCCTATGTATATCCCCACATAGCTGTGATTACAAGCAAACACTTGTGTCAAGCTCGTTGGTTGAGATGTGATCTTCTGATCTCTGGCTTTCAAGGAGCTGGTA